TGCTGTAGCAGGAATTGCCAGTGTTTATGGCAAAGGAGGGCACTAGAGGGAAGAAAAGAAGAAAATCATATTTTTGTCTCCATGTAAGAGCTCATTGCTCCTGCATCTTTCTCTTTTGACAAAGACAGATGATCAGAACCAATATAATATGGATAAAATTTGATATAAAAATTTACAATATATGACAATTAAGTTTACAAATTATCCTACAAGAAGTTCTACATACTTCATTGCTGAATATCACTGTGGTCACCTTCAAAGAACTCCCTTACAGAAGCTATGGGCTGTTGCCAGTGCCTAGTCCACTAATCAAAGCTATTTTCAAATTTCTATGAAATGGCCATTAGAGCTATCCTCATGAGAATGTTGGAATTTAAATTAAAACAACAAACATTAAATTTCTTGTAAAATGTCCAGATGCAGTGGCTCAGCCTGCAATCCCAGCACTTTGGGAGGCCAAGGCAAGAAGATTGTCTGGGCCCCGGGATTCGAGACCAGCCTGGACAATTTGATGAAACCTTGTCTCTACAATAAATACAAAATAAGCTAGGCATGGTAGTGCACTCCTGTATTTCCAGCTACTTGGAAGACTGAGGGAGAAGGATCACCTGGGCCCAGCAGGTTAGAGCTGCAATGGCTGTTGAGCAAGCCACTGCACTACATTATGGGAACAGAGTGAGACTCCAAATAAAGAAAAAGTCTGAAAAGGAAGATAGGGTGACATTGAATATGAGAAGGATTTGGAAAATAATGTAGTGTGATGGGAAAAACACATTGAGATAGCCAGGCATGGTGGCAAGTATCTGTAGTTCCAACTATTTGGAAAGCTGAGGCAGATTGATTGCCTAAGCCTACTAGGACGAGGTTGCGGTGGTCGTTAGTGTGCCAGTGAACTCCAATTTGGGCAAGACTGAGACTTCAACTCAAAAAGAAAAGAAAAGAAAATACACGGACAAACCAATGAAATTCAAAGTTTAAAAGTAGACACAGATATGGAAATGCATTACACAATGAAAGTGACAGGAATGGAAGAGCAGATGTGACCTTGCTGTGTCCCCTGGAGACTGACGCTCACACATGAGGAGAGACTTTGTCTTCCAGTGTGTTTTCTTCCTGCAGGTCTTCTTTCTCACCCAGAGAGAGGTGACTGAGCCCTTCTAAGTGATCAGAGTATTGGGATCAGCGTCTGTGCAATGTGAGTCCTTTAACACAAGTCAGTCTGATAAAAACAGTAACTAATATAATATACAACACACAGTCCACCACATTTTAAGTTAGTGATGGATAATGTTCTAAAAATGATGTTATTCTGACATTACTTAAATTATTTAGGAAACACAGATTTTGTTATTTTTGAATAAAATGTGTGCAATTAATTTCATTATATGTAAACATTTTAAAAATTGATGCTGTCAAGGACATGGTTTCTGTGGTTCAATGTCCATCATAAGTTGATATTCCCTTATAAATTTTCTTATTCTTCACTTCCATTATATCATCAAAAAGATGAATGACTTTTTCTTCTTAAAGTGTGCTCCAGAGAAGCTCTTATTTGTAATCAAATTTCTCAGGTATGTTTCTGAGTTTGGAAAATACTTAAATTTATCCCTAGTCTTTAAAGATATTGTATTTAAGTATTTAAGATAATTTCTATCAGCTGTATATTTATGTTTAAAGTAGGTCTCACTCACTGGAATGTAGTGGCACAATTATGTCTCACTGCAGTCTCAACATATGGGCTCAAGAAATCCTCTACCTAAGCCTTCTGAGTAAGTGGGTACCACATTAATTAATCTGTAAATTATTGTGAAGTTATCAACATTAAAAGGAACATCCACTTTCATTATTTGATCGGTCCATCTGTTTTTCTTGAACAAGTCCACTTTTCATTCCAAATTGTTGCATTCCACATTTGAGGCAATGTAGTCATTTAAAAACAACAGCTCAAAGGTCATTTTCTGCAGCCACCTATATGCTTCAGTGGTGTTCCTCATAGTTTTTTCACAGCTATCTTTCTACAACAAGTCTTAGGAAAACATTTTTCACCTTCATACGCCTTCAAAACACATAGAGTGTCTTACACCTTAAGGAAGTTAGTGATGGTCCGGCAGGCTCTGCCACCACTCTGCCAGCATGACTGAAGGCTGCAAAAGCACCATCAGACCTTATTTACCTCAACGAAAAGAGCCCTCATTTTTCTTTTTTTTTTTTTGAGTTGGAGTCTCACTCTGTCACCCAGACTGGAGTGCAGCGCCGCTCCCAGCCACCGCAGCCTCAACCTGCTGGGCTCCCGCAATCCTTCCATCTCAGCCTTCCAAGTAGCTGGAATTACAGACATGCACTACCATGCCTGGCTGATTTTTTTATTTATTGTAGAGATGAGGTCTCGCTGCCCAGGTGGGTCTCGAACCTGCGGGCTCAAGCAATCCACTCACCTCAGCCTCCCAAAGGTGCAGGATTACAGGCTGAGCCCAAGCCCGGCTGAGCCCTCATTTTTCAAACCAAGCTATATTCTAAAAGAATCTAAGAATGGAGAGCTTCCAGATTAAATATGATGATGCCTGGCATACTTCACCAAGGTATTAATAATCAAAAAATTAGACCAGGCATGGTGACTCAAGCCTGTAATTCCAGCACTTTGGTAGGCCAAGGTGTGGGGATTGTCTGAGTCAAATGTTTGAAAACAACCTGGACAACTTGGTGAGACCCTCATCTCTACAATAAATTTTTAAAAATTAGTCATGCATGGTAGTCACTGTACTCCAACCTGGGTGAGAAAAGTGAGACTCCAATTTAAAAAAAAACACTGCAATATACAAAAAAAGATGTGTCAGCAGTCACCATAATCAAGTGAATAAAAGTAATATCAACTGTACTAGAACATATCAGTATCAGGTGACAATGCACACAGATGACACCACAGGAGTACTGATATCATAGGCCAAAAAAAGTCATTTTACCTACATTTAATAGTTTAAAAATATATTATGCTGAATTCCAGCTACAGGCATCTCCCAAGTTCTTTAAACTCCAAATGTGTATTTTTTTTAAACATCCTAAAGAGCAAGCCTCTCCTAATTATTATTATTTTTTCTGAGTAGGAGTCTCACTCTGTTGCCCAGGTTGGAGTGCAGTAGCACGCTCATGGCAACCCAATGTCGATCTGCTGGCCTCTGGTGATTCATTCACCTCAGACTTCCAAGTATCCAGAGGTACAGGCATGTGCTACCACACCTGGCTAATTTTGAATTTTTGTAGAGATGAGGTCTTGCCAGGTTGTCTGGGCTGGAGTTAAACCCATGGGCTCAGGCAATACACTCACTTCAGCCTCCCAAAATGCTGGGATGACAGGCTGAGCCCCTGAGCCCGAGCTAATTATTGTTTAGTCAGACCTTCCAGACTTATTCTGGGCATACTTGCCATTCTAAGTGTACGTTTTAGTAACCATGTTCTGGATGGAGACTCCAACTCAAAATAAGTAAGTAAATAAATAAATAAAATCAATGAGATATATAATCTTGTCTATAGATTAAAAAGTCTGTGAAGCTTTTACAAAAAATTATACATTACAGAGCAAATTACAAAGAAGTGTAAAATATTTCTCAAACATGAAAAACAGTAGAAATAAAAAAAAGGAAAATACTTGTTTGGGAAGAAGGATTAAATAGTATCATTAACTTAATATACCTCCAATCAGTTTACCAATTGAGCTTGATATGGATATACATACCAGCTGTGTGTGATGTGAACAAAAAAATTTTTACCAACAATGTCTAAAGCCATAAAAAGTCTGAGAGACGTTATTATACATAATAAGGACTTGAAGTAAAGCAGTGTGATAGTGACTTTAAAACAGAGTGAGAGTGGAATACTGCCAAAGGACTGGAGGGGACTATCTCATCAAAAATTGTACTTGAGTAATGGACATTTGTATATGTAACACTGAATTGTATCCCACATCTTAAAAATAAATAGGCCATGCTCCAGTGGCTCAGCCTGTAATCCCAGCACTTTGGGAAGCTGAAGCCAGTGAATTGACTGTGAGCCCATGGGTTCGAGACCCACCTGGGCAACTTGGCAAGACCTCATCTCTACAATACATAAAAAATTAGCCAGGCACGGTAGTGTGTGCCTGTAGTTCAGGTTACTTGGAAGACTGAGGCAGAAGCATCTCTGGAGCCCAGCATGCTGAGACTGTGGTGGCTGGCAGCATGCCACTGCACTCCAGTCTGGGCAGCAGAGTGAGACTCCAACACTAAAAAACAAATAAATAATAAAAGACTGAAAAATCCAAGAGAATAGAATGTTTAACAGTAGAATAAGACATATATGGAGGCTGGTCATGGTGACTCATGCCTATAATTCCAGAACTTTGGAGGCTGAGGTGAGAGGATTGCCTGAACCCATATTCTCAAGACCAGTCTAAGCAACTTGGTGAGTCCTCGTCCCTACAATAAATCAAAAAAATTAGCCAGGCATGGCAGTGCATGCCTGTGATTTCAGCTACTTGGAAGACTGAAGCAAAAGGATCACTTAAGCCGAGTAAGTCAAGGCTGCAGAGTCTGGCTGTTAGTGTCACTGCCCTCTATCCTGGGTGACAGTGTGAGATTCCTTCTCAACAACAAAACTCTTCTCACAGACTAATTTAAGAATAAATCTTGTCAATCCTGTCTGGGTGAAAGAGTCCATGATTCAAGAAAAATAAAACCAAAGAAAAAACCTTTTTAAAAAAAGATTTGAAAACCTTTTTTGATATTGGTCTTAGTAATGAGTTTTTTATATGACTGTAAGAATACAGGACTAAAAGCAAATATTAACAAGTTCGATTGCATCGAACTAAAAAACTTCCTCCCAGTTAAGAAAAAAGGAAGAATTATAGAACAAGTGAAAATGTTTGCAAGCCATATATCTGATTCATTTGTTTGATACTCAACACATAAAAAGAAATTATGCAAATCAAAGACAAAAACAAGGCTGGGCCGGGCATGGTGACGGCTGAGGGCGTCCTGGCCACCAGGTGAGAGAAGCCGGCCAAAGATGATGCCGCCATGGAGACGGCCGAGGAGGCAAAGGATCCTGCCAAAGCGGACATCACGGAGCTCTGCCGGGACATGTTCGCCAAGATGGCCACCTACCTGACCGGGGAACTGATTACCACCAGTGAAGACTATAAACTCCTGGAAAATATGAATAAAATAACCAGTCTGAAGTATCTTGAAATGAAAGATATTACTATAAACATTTGTAGAACCTTAAAGGATTTAAACCAGAAGTATGCGGGGCTGCAGCCAGACCTAGACCAGATCAGTGTCATCGAGGAGCAGGTGGCAGCTTTGGAGCAGGCGGCTTACAAGTTGGACGCGTATTCAAAAAAACTGGAAGTCAAGTACAAGAAGCTGGAGAAGCAGTGAAAAACTTACCACTACGGGACAAAACCTTTTTTAATGTGGAGGAATGTTTTATGAGCCCTGAGTCCTGACGGATTGTCCAAACTCCTTGAAAAGCAACTGGGTGTTCGTCCCAGAAACATCACAACGCTGGCATCAACTAGAGGACTGTGGCCGCCCTGCCCCTCCTTCGAGGCAGCGTCCCTCAGAATCGCACACTCAGCTCCTTACCTTTTGCTTGAATGCTTCCGCATCCCTTCAGGACAGGCTCTCAAGGCTCAGGAAACCCTGGGACTTGCCAGTAAAATGCAGTGACAGGGCCTGTTTTCTATGGTAGTGGTTGATTACGATATTACTTTAAGTGGCTGTTTTTTTTAGTTACTGTGAAAATGGTGGGGTTTTTTTTCCTTCTGTTAATGATGTTAATATGTTAACAGGATTCTCGACTTCAAAAGGAAAACAAAAACTTTGTAGTTTATCACCTTATGAATAGCAGTAATTTGCTTTTTTATAACATTGCAAATAACCCAAAATCATAAAATAATTCCAGGCCGAGTCTTCTAGACTGAGCAGAAATAGTGAAAGGAGTCTTTTGTTGGCTGGGGTCTGGGATGAGTCCCTCTGTTTCTTTTCTATGTGAGTCCAATGTCTGGGGACAGATGACATCTTGACATGTGCTCCCTTTTGGAAATGTGATGACAGAGACGAGATGTGTATATGTTGGGTGGGGAGGTGGGGACTGCCTCATGGAATAAAGCATTTTGTAGAACAACAAAAAAAGACAAAAACAAGAAAATGATAATCACAACTAAAAAATAGCCCAAGAATTGTTATCTTTTTAATGAAGACAAATTGCTAACATTTACATGAAATGGTGGCAACATCACCAATCACGAGGCACTCTCAAATCAACCCAATAATAAGATATCATCTGAGACCTGTTAGGATGGCTAATGTCAACCAGAGAGGGATAAGTATTGACAAGGATGTGAAGAAAAAGAAATCATATACACAGTTGGTGAGTTTCAAATTGGTAGTCAGAATGAAAATCATTATGGGTATTCTACAAAAATAAAAATAAAAAAATTAGCTTACAACACTGAAATCCCTTGTCTGTGTATATAACCAAAGGAAATAAAATCAGTAAAATCAGTATCTCAAAGAAGTATCTACACCCCTATGTTCATTGCAGCATTGTCAAAATGACCAAGCTATGAAAACAATCTTAATGTTTCTGGATTCTGTATTGATTAAAAAAAATACATTATATATACATAATAGCATATTATTCAGCTATAAAAAAAATCAAACAATCTTGCCTTATCAACTTTATGGATGAAAGTATAAGACATTGTGCTAAGTGACATGAGCCAGGCACACAAAGAAAAATACTGTATGATGTCACTCATGTGTAAAATAAAAAAATATATACTTATAGAGGAAGAAAGTATAGTGGTACCCCAGGGCTTATAGGTGGGGGAACTGGGAGACACTGTTCAATGGTTACAAAACTTCAGTTGTAATGGAGTTTTAGGGATCTAATGTATAGTATAGTGACTATAATTAATAATAATATCTTATATGCTTAAAAAACAAGAAAATTATAGATATTGTGTTATTAATACAAAAAATTTAAAAAACAACTACTTAAGGTGACTGATATGCTCGTTAACTTGATCATAGTCATTGGTACACAATTTATACACATATCAAATTATTACATTTTACACATTAAATATGTGGTTATACAATTTTATTTCTGTAAGATAATTCAGATGTTAAACACACATACAACACATGTGTATATATAAAACCCAGTCCTAAGCTTCATACTAAACATAAGAATTTTAAAACCAGTTATTAAGAAACATGGTAACATTTGGAAGTTTAATATTTGTTTTTCAATGTTCTAAGTGACATAGTATATTTTAAAATTTGGGGCATATATAGTTTAAATTACCAATCTCAGTTTATAATTAAAAGACATTAAAGCAAAATAACATCAAGTTTTTCTCTTTCTAGACAGATAGATTATGTTCTGGTAAAATTATGGATTACTAATTTATTTATTTTGAGTCAGAGTCTCTCTGTCAACCAGGGCAGAGTACAAGGGTACACACACAACCACCACAGCCTCAGCCTGTTAAGCTCAGGTGATTCTTTCAACTCAGTCTTCTAAGTAGCTAGAACTACAGGCATGCACCACCATGCTTGGCTAATTTATTGTACAGATGAGGGAGGTCTGGCAAATTGCCCAGGCTGTTTCAAAATCCTGGGCTCAGGCAATGCTCATGCCTCTGCCTCCCAAAGTGCTAGAATTACCGCATAAGCTTTGAACCTGGCTTGGAGTATGAATTTCTATAGAATCACATTTAAAACCTCCCTAGGTTAGGAAATCATAAAGCAGAAAACAAAACATATATTCATAGTGTTCTTGGGTTTTCATAGTCCAATAACAAAGTCACCCCTACTCTCACATATTTCCAACATGATGAAAAAGAAAACCTAAAAAACAGTTTGTAAATAAATGAACAGATATTTTCATGTGCCCCCAAAGCAAGAGAAAAGCAGTATGATTAAGTAGTCCCTTATGAACCATTAAGATAACTGTGAATTTCAATGTAAACTTAAAGGAAAAACACCAAAAGAAAATGAATTTCTAGGCCAGACTTGGTGGTTCAGCCTGTAATCCCATGCTTTGGGAGGCTGAGGTGAGTGGATTGCCTGAGTCCTCGGGTTTGAGACCCGCCTGGACAACTTGGCAAGACCTCATCTCTACAATAAATCAAAAATCATCCAGGTGTGGAAGCACCACCTGTAATTCCGGCTATATGGAAGGCTGAGGCAGAAGGATCGCTGGAGCCCAGCAGGTCGAGGCTGTGGTGGCCGAGAGCAGTCACTACACTCCAGTCTGGGTGAGAGTGAGACTCCAATTCAAAAAAAAAAAAAAGAAAATGAGTTTCTAGAGAATTTCAGTGCATGAAACAATAGATGGCCCTTTGTGACATCAAGAGAAAAAATCCCAGGCTCCTCAGGAACTATTTCCACAGGAGACCACATTGCAAACCTCATTAAAATCTCTGATTCCACCTTAACCTGTGTCATCCTCTTCATTCATTCCTACCTATCTGGGGGTCTGGCTAATGTGCTGTGTATCCAGGGCTCCTTACTTTGCTCAAATCATCCTTACTTCGCTCAAGATAATCCTTACAGATGATCAAGTTTGGCATAAAGACAGCAAGACCTGTTTTAATAGAAAAAAAGTAATATGATACTTACTGGGATTCTCTTATTACAATCCTTGTACTGTGTTCAGGAAAGAATACACTACACAAGATTCTACAATATTAATTCCAGATATTTTTTTTTCAACAGAAGCTTTAGAACATTTCAGGAGAATTTTATTATTGTAGGTCCCTAACTCAGTACTAGTAAATAAAAAATAAAACCAGACTCGGTGGCTCAGCCTGTAATCCCATGCCTTGGGAGGCTGAGGTGAGTGGATTGCCTGAGCCCGTGGGTTCGAGACCCACCAGGACAACTTGGCAAGACCTTATCTCTATAATAAATCAAAAATTAGCTGGGCGCGGTATCACACGCCTGTCGTTCCCGCTACTTGGAAGGCTGAGGCAGAAGGATCCCCGGAGCCCAGCAGGTCGAGGCTGCCCTGGCTGGGAGCGGCCACTGCACTCCAGTCTGGGTGACAGAGTGAGACTCCAACTCAAAAAAAAAAAAAAAAAAAGCTGTGCAAGTATCTGCTTATTTATTTAGAAAATCCATGTCGAACTATTTTTTAAGCTTTCTTTCAATGCCATACTGGAAATAGGTGAGAGAGTGTTATTTGAAAAATTTTAAGAACTCTCTGGGCAGATGTTTTCTACTTTATTATTTCCTTTTCTTTTATATATATATATATATATATATTGTAGAGACGAGGGCTCACCACGTTGCACCGGTGGGTCTCAAACCCACGGGCTTAGGCAATCCACTCACCTCGGCCTCCCAAAGCGCTGGGATTACAGACTGAGCCACCGAGCCCAGCCAAAAAAACCTTGCTTTTCTTATCATATCTGCTGTCACTCAAGATCAGAAGAGTGGTGTCCTGTGGCCTTATCCAATCAGTGGATGCTAGCTCGGAAACTGCCCAATCAGAGACGTGCCAGAAGTGAGGTGGTGGCTTCCCGGCTCTGATCAAGCTTTTTGTATCCTGCACCTGCATAAGTGCTGGATTATCTCAGAGAGAACCCCGTCTTTGCTTTTGTCCTTTTCACTCTGTGACATGCAGGTTCAGGGAGTTCGTAGGGAGGATGCTGGGACAACCAGAAACCGAGAGACGGTGAGTATGTACCTAGGTGCGAGAACGGGAGGTAGGATAGATCCGGATGACCTGGCTGTGGCAGACCGGCCTCTATCTCAGCTATGATCTTGGACACTTCTCAGTTGGCGGCTTGACCCCATCACTTCTGTGTTGGGTGGGGATTGTCCGGTGCCCACGGTCCTGTCGCAATGATGACCTCGCCCTAAGGAGGCCTTTCAAGGCAATATTGAGCTCTGGATGTGCGGTACCCAGGATTGTCATGGGGGTCTGACCCGTGTGGGGGGACCAGAGAGGAAGGGACTGTGGTCTTGGCCCCGTCGCTCTCATATACTCCAAGGTTAAATGGAGACTTTGTCACATTGTTTAGAAGTTCTCTTGAGCCAAGAGCAGATCGTAAAACCCTAAGCTCCAGTCAGGGCTCCTGGTGTGGGGTCCCCGGAAGGCCTAGGGCTAAAGGCATGGAGAAGAGGGAATGGGAAGCCGACCACAGGCAGGTGCTGGTGGGTGACAGTCCCGCAATCGCCTGACCTGGAAATCCAGGTGGAAATTCCCAGCACAAGTCATCAGGGTCATTGGCAGTTTGTCACCAGATCCAAACTTGGTTCTGCCTGGTGGGACAACCAAAGTCAAAACAAGGAGTTGGAGAAGGGCCTATGACTTGATTTAGAGTACCATTAAAAGCAAGAAGATGAGGGACCTGCGTACTAAAGATGCCTTTTGGGTTGTGAAGCTTTTTCTTTGGTTTTTATCACTGGTTTTTACCCAGGT